ATTTTAATACATTTATTTTTGCCACATTGTGTCAGGTAAGGTCTAAAAGCTCCTGTTTCAAAAGAAATGAATTTATGGATTGCTAAAGCTGCAATTAATAGCTCAATTCGCATCTCCAGTAACTTTACTCTGCCAGTAACTCTGAAACAGTAATTATTTGAAATAACTGTGGCCAAACTTCGCATTCCTATTAACAGCGACAGCCTGATTACCTTCTGTCTTGTGATTTACATTGTTTTATAAACTAAGCAAAATGGAAGTACTATACTGCAGATGGAGCAGAAATTCTGGTTTGAGCTATCCCACGAGACTACACTTTGGCTGCATAAATCTTGGCATAGTTTGTAGGAGTTATGCTTTCCTGGCAGTGCTTCATGTCAATGATCAGTATTTGGAAATCTGCTTAATAAGACTGAAGTACCACAACAGCAGGACAGTCAGATCTTCTCAGATCTGTCAGGACACAATGGTGATATTAGAGATACTTCATGGAGAAAAAAAGAAAGAAAAAAAAAAAAGGAACATCTATTCAATCTTTGGACAAAATAAGTACTTCTGGCTCTTAACATTTTGTTCCACTTCCATAATGTATGACCTACATACATTACTAGAAAAAATATTTTTAAAAGGTACTTTATTTCCCCCAGAGCTTTACTGATAGTCTGACTACCCAGAAACTCATAGAACTAGGCCAGGGAACTATATTTGCTCTTGAATGAGAATTTGCCCACCAATTTACAGGTAAGAAAATAACTGTTAATTGTATGAGCACTTAAAGATATTTACAGAACAATTTTGTTAAACTGCAGCACAGGATCATCTGCAGCAAATGGCTTCATCATTGAGGTGTACCACTGAAACAATTAGAATTTTGTTATCACATACTCACAGACTATTTGGGAGGAAAGAAAGGAGAAATGCTGTATTTCAGAGCAGAATTTTCCCTCCTGCCCACCTACAATTGCATTCCTGCACAGAATAAATCAGAACAATCTGTTTGTGATTAAAGAATGATAAAAAATGATAAACTCACCAGAATAAGAAAGGATTGAGATCACTGATGTAAAGCTCAGTGTTGCATGGATGGTAGATTGATAATAATTGCTTCCTAAGTAAAGATACTCTATTTTACTTCAATCTTTTTACCTCCTGTTCTGTTTATGGTAATACAAGCTTTACCTAACATCCAGTAACATCTTTGACCAACTGAAGTTATTTAGTAATTTTTTTCCTTCTGTTTTTAATTTCCATTGCCATCTTGGTAGAAATTGCACAGTGCTGAGGGGGACTCACATGATGTAAGAGACAAAACTTCCATGAACTCCTTTGAAGCCAGATTTTTACCAAGTTGGCCTAACATTCACTGACAGTCTGGCACTGAAACATCCCTCTTATCCCTTTGATACCCATGTTCTTCTGCCATTAGTATAATTAATGCAAATGGATGTGACATCAAGATCTAAAAGACAAGACACAATTTACCAGCAAAATTCTAGGGAGTTTCTAATGCAACTCGATTTCCCACATAGCTCTAGAGCAATATATGGGCATGATCCAACGCCCTTTGCAAACAAAAGAAAGTCTCCAGTAAATTCCAGGACTTTGGACCATGCCCTGTAAAATTACCAATATCATTAGTTTTAAGTATCTGTGTGGAGACAGAATAGAGAAAGAAAGCAGAGTGCTAATATCTATACTAATGAATGACCAAGCACAAGCCCACAGCAGTGTCAGGTCATCGCAACCTCCATACAGTTTCTGTATGAAGGTGTAGGTCAGTTTTCAGTGCCTTGGTGCAAAAGGAAGCATATGGCCCCAGGAACAGACAGAAAAACATTTGTGACACTTTAAGTGCAGTTAATTATTTGTAGGTGAATCATACTGCTATCAGCACTGCCTTGCTGCATTTGAAACTGAAACAGTCACAGCAGCAATGACTTCTTTCAGCATCACTGCAGTTCAGTTACCTGACTATGTATAGGAGAAGAGAAGCACAGAGCAGTTCTTCCCCATTGGGGCTGCCTTTCCATCATAGCCAAGGGGAGGCAGCTCTGGGCCAGCATGCTGTGCAGCCACTCTGTTGGTATGCAGCTCCTTTAGGTTTCATCCACTCACATTGTTTTTCCACCTCCTACCTTTTTCCTTTAAATACATTCAGCATTCACGAAAAGAAAAGGAGTATTATATGTGTGGAAAGATTTCACAAGGTAGGTAGCATCATTCTCACTTTACAGATGGTACAAATGAAGAAAATGAATGTGTGTGCTCACTGCACATCTCTTCAAGGGAGCAAGGGAAATAATGTGATTTCCAATGACCTTTGTGGGGTTCATATCTATCACCAGAGCATGTGAGAGAAGAAAACTGCTGCTCCTAACCAATGGTATTTACTTTTCCAGGAGAAGAGGCAGGAAGCAAGAAGGCTGGAGGAGGAAATATGCAACTTCCAGTCACCAGGAAGGAGAACTTGTGATTAAAGGGATGGCAGAGATTATTTCTTCCTTAAGTGTCACGTAGGGAAGAGAAGATCTTGTAACTGAAAATCTCAGCACTTTTTCTATTATTCGCTACTGTCTATGCAGATCCACTTGCCTGGTTTGGTCAAAGTATGCTTTGCTCATGTTTAGCAGCAAGATAGCCAGGTACTAAGAGGGCATCCTGTATCTTTATCATTCTTCCTACCTCTTTTCACACTTTTTCTCTCATAATTTATCTAGCAAGTCTAAGAGTGCAAATGGTAAATCTGGTTATGAAATCATCCACCACACATGGGTATAACTGCTCAGCAGACAGCCCTTAGCCTTCACACAGAAGAATACGTGGTAAATTTATGGACCTTTTAGAGCAGTGAAAAATTTTCTACTACAAAAGTTACCAAAGCAAGGAAACAAAATCCTCTCATTATGAGAAAATGATTAATCTGGATACAAGTATGAATATGCTATTGAAGTCCATCTGCCATAGCAGACACAGCATATAATGGTGTAGCCCTTGACTGCAGCCAAGTGCTGGTGGTCTGCTGGGGCAATCCAGGAAGACACTGCAATGCGTCTGGGCAATAACACCAAGCAATGGAAATATCTAAGGCTGTATCTGTTGTCTGTATCTGTGAGATCTGTAGTATTAACAGCTTTTTAATACCTTAGACATGTTCTTGAGTTCTGGGCTGGAGATACATCCAAAACATCTTGGCCAGTTTTGTAAGTTATTTATACTCAGCAGGTTAACTAAATTCCAGGAAAGGAAAAGTATCCTCAATTAAGGATTTTTTTTTTCATTAGACTTAGACCACATTTTTTCTTTAAGATAAATTGTTATTGAAAGCAATGGGGTTATTTTTTTGAATAAGGATTATTGGTAAGAACTGAAAAAGCTAACTTTCATTATCCATTTATGGCAAGCATAAGTTTGGGTAAGACAGACTTGAGAATACTCTGAACATCAAGAAAGATTAATCAAAAAGGACAGCAGAGAAATCCTTTAAAGATAACACAGAAGATGGAAAGCTTTACTACAGGAAGATGGAAGAAGAGACAGCTCACTTCTAACAGCATGGAAGCCAAAAAGGACGTGTGCCTTTTCCTGGAAGACCTGATCAGAATTTCACCCATTCAGCCTCACAAAAACATGCCAGGATTTTTCACGAAACTGACTTCAAAGCACTTATGGAATGTTGGAAATCTGAATTTTGTTTTTTCCACCTCTGATGCACCCTGGAAGATGTGTGCAAAGATTCAGTCGCCTCCTCGGAGTTGAGTTTAATGAGGTAGCAGGATGTCTAGAAGTTATTACAGCAATGCTGATTTTCTCCTGTGGAGCTAGCTTCTATACTACTGCAGAATGAGATGTTTTCATTCAGCTAGTATGTACAGAAGAAATCCAGTAGCAGACAATCTTCAGCTTCTTAGGTATTATGCATTAATTATACCATGGCATAAGAGCTATCAGAGTTAGCTCTGTAACCACTCAGTATTCCTTAGCTTAAGCACACTTTAAGCAAATACACCCATATGCAAGATCAATGTGACTTGAAGAGCAGTTCAGTCACTTCTGTAACACGTGCAATCCAAACTTATGAACCATCAGGCAGAAATTAGTTTCCCAAGTAACCTGACATGGCAGCTCTGTTGCGTGCTTCTAGAAATGGAAATGCTAGGCTGTAAAAATTAAAACTGCACAATGCAAGACTATCAGTTATGTCTGTACTGGTAAACTGTAGAATGTCAGTGCTAAGCAGAACATCATTTAAATACTGTTAGAATGACCTTGGTATACCTTTTACAGAAGCCAGTTAGCACTCCTCCAAGCCATGATCTTGTCACAGGCAGTCAGCAGTCAGTTAGCATGCACCAAAGCAAAGTGCTTTGCAGGCTAAGAGGATTTAATTTTGTCAGTGTAGGTTGATCAAACCAGAAAAAGCCTTGGCACTGTACACAACGCACTAGCTCCAGCTCAGTTTTTATTTTGCCAGACATGAGATTACTGCATGCAGCCATTGCTTCTCCAGCATGCTCTAAAATAGGGCTTATTAGCACAGGAGCAGTGCTGAACGCGAGACTGGACCTTTCTTTCTGAAGTCTTGTGCCCAAAGTCCTTAGGAGCAACCTGTTGGCTCTCAACAGCCACACCAAATTTGGCAAGGTCTACACTGGGCCAAAGCTAACGAGACCAGTTGTGAACAAGCTGCTTCCATACAGAACTCTCTGCCCTCTCCTCAGCATCTGTGCCAAAAACATGTCTTATTAGCTCATTCACAGTGCAGGACCCAATCTCTGTGTGTGCTGGTACAAGTCTTAGAAGCTTCCTGCTGCCCAGGGCACCAGTGACTGCCTTGAAATACCTTAGTGATTCTGAGGGAGTCAGCCCTGGTTCACTAGTTTCAGTGCTGAAACATATTTAGCAGCAGTTCTGAACAGATGATGCTTTTGACCTGGTAAATCAAACAGATTAACATAAAATATGAATAGACTGTGAGTGCTTACATAGATGTGTATTCGTATATACATATATATGAAGATTCACAGCTCATATGTATAAAATTAAATATTAGTTATACGATAAAATAATAAAAATTCTTTTAAGTTATAAAAAGAACTGAACAACTTAAATACCCACCTCATACGGAACAAAAACATTTTGTGGCTTTCAGCATAAATTTGACAGCAGAAATGAAATTGCACAATAGAATTTCAGACCACAATCTGGTCTGGTATTTCACTGTCCAGAATTCTAATGAATGTAATATCTATATTACAATCCTCTTAACTTACATAGTTCTTACCAGTCTTTCTTGCAGTCAGAGGAACACTACTCTGCTTGATAATGGCTAGGCCGATTCCAATGTATTTATACTTATCACTATGTTATTGATGCATCACAAATGAAGTACAGAAACATACTGGATGTTTGTCTACAGTAATAACATGTCATTAAAAAACAGAACACCGCAATTTCTAAATAATTTTGTTGTTATTGTTAAAGAGGAGTGGGGAAAAAAAGCCACAGAAAGCAATTCCCCAAGATCCAACACCCTTTTTGATAAGTGTCACATGAACACCCCTGCAGAACAGTCACACATCTTGTCTGAGCCCCAGTTAGTGCTCATTTTCATGACGTATTGTGTAAATGTTCCTGCTATTTACGATGATCTTGTCCTCCGCTTCCTCAGAACAGAACAATCATTAAAAAAGAAAAAAGAAACTTTGCTCCTTGGAAGACAGTAGGGACTACGGTTTATGATGAATCCACTTAGCTGAGCAGCATTATCCTTGAAGAGGAAAACAGTTCTGTAACTCGGTCTATTTGGTTGCATTTTTTTTTGTTTCCCTTGGGTTTTGAAAGTCATTTGCTGCAACACACAGAGACAGGAGATAAACAGCTAACTCAGCCATTCTTCATGGTACTCTGCTTCTGCTTGGTGTCTCTGTCACATACTCTATTTACTTCTTGGGTTCAAAGTTTTCCTCTCTTTAATTTTCATTTACTTATTTATCTTTGAATCATGCATCACTTGGCTCACTCCTTGCACCTCCACAGCTTTTGTTGTTTTCAGTCTTTAATGATGTTCTTTTAGTTAAGAGCTCACCAAAGTGTAGATCATGCTGAGTGAAAAGAAAGACACAATATGAAAGTATCCTTTTGAAACATAAAGAGCGCTTTGATTTTTATAACCCTTTACTGTCCCCAAGGTCTGACTGTAATGGCCAGTGCCTTCCTTGGCATTCTGTCTCTCTAAACTATCTTAATTATGATGGATTCAAGATGGATATCAAAAAGAACTCAAGAAATAGCAAATTCATTAGTGATATCCTACTGTACCACAAGCTGTGTTTGAGCTTATTAAAATGTGCTCTCATGTCTGAATTTGAACAGTGAAGAAACAAAACCATTTCGCTCTCACACGTTTGATATTTACAACTTCAACCAGCAACCCTCAGTGTGGCAGGCAAGGTTTACCACGAAACTACATGTTTTCTTTCCTTCGGAGAAAAATCCATACAGTAGAAGAAAAATGAAATACAGACAACCAGCTAGCACAATTCCATACATATTAAGTACAACTCTAAAAAATGAGGAAATTGCAGTATATTACCACAGCCCCATTTTACTGCAATACTAGCTCTTGCAATAAAAGCACAGCAAAAGTGGATATAGTACTGTTTTATTAAGGACCAGGCAGCAGACCTTGGCTTATGGCCACATTTTAGAATGAAGGAAAGCAGGGCTCAGCACAACAGTTTAGTTCCAGCAGAAATGCTCAGACAAATGCTTGATATTCTACATGTAATGAAGTGTCCGCAGAGTTCAGCGCACGCTGCTGCAAGTAGGTATGCTTCCCTGAATCAAGATCAGAAGCAGTTCTGTAAGGCTAAGGAAGCATGCACATTCGTTCCAGTTATTCCTAAATGCAATTTCACATGTTAAATGAAAAGCAGCTACTATTTCCTCAATAAAATTACCAGACTTACCAGTAAAGATAGTAGAAGAAAGAAAGGAGATAGAAAGCTAGCTTACACCAGGCCTCTTTCTGACAGTAACTCAAGGTATCAGCATTCATGACTGCAGGTGGATCATAAGCGAGTTCTGAACTATCTGCTGGGCAGCGAAAATACCTGAAAGAGAAGGAGAACTCTAGAACAACTGTAACATGCCGTATTAGATACGTGCTGACACATACTGTCCTGATCATCACCTCAAAAGAAAACAGTCTTCCATCGTGTAGGAGAAATTTACTTCTCTCTATCAAGCCTTTATCAAGCCTTCTGGACATGGTTAAGTCAGAATGCTAGTCTAGATATATTGCAGAACCAAGCAATTCACGGATGTGAAATTTCTGTGCTCTATTAAATCGTTAGACTGCAACATTCCCCCTGCTTATATAGTTCTTTCTGGCTTACTCGCTAATAACTTGTATACTGTGTGTTACAATACGTGGTCTGTGATCACAGCATGGAAGAAGAATTACTGGGCTTTAACTGCATCCACACAACTAATTTCAGATATGATGAGAGGTGACAGTCTCAACCAGTTGATAGCTCAGTTTCTTCTACTCTGAAAAGGAAAAATTCAATACGGTATAACAAGAGAGTTGGCTGACTAGTGTTTTCTGCACATAGCACTGCTCAGAAATTCATTATCTAAATAATTTTTTTCAGAAAATGTTTTTCTTATTATTTTCACCAGAGACTGGGTATTTGAAAAAGCTATAATGAAAGATGTTTTTGGCAAAGGAACTTTAGTCTCAGTTACTTTGCAGCTTCATTGGAATGATAACACACAATTATCTTCCCATGGTTTTATGCAGAAATTTTTACAATGAACCCAAGAGCAGCAAACAACACGAGTAATTATGACAATACACACGGAGAACCACAGAAACATATCCTAAGTTTGGCATCGTTATTTCAAGTATGACCATTTTCACTTTGTATTTTTTGCTACTTTTCACACTTGAGTCGTTATCCTTTGAAAGACAGCATCGTAAAACACCATGATCTTTATTATACCCAACAAAAGAGCTCTCATGGCTTCATCTCATTAAACTTTCTGAGAACTATGCTGTCATTCTAACTTCTGGATAATATAAATCTACTACAAGATGTTGCATTATTACCAAGTTTTGCAGAAAATAGAGTTTAAAAGCTACTATTTTTTAATTCATAGCTGAGGCACAAGCAGTGCCTTCTTTGCAGAGTTGTTCTTCAAACTACTTCACAGCAGAAGCTCCCTGCTACCATATGTATCTCTGTAACACAGAAAGAACCTGACAGACAAAAATTGTCTGTGCTTTTCCAAATACAGTGGGAATGCAAAACTAGTAGAAGACTGCAGACTGATAGACAGAAAAATGAATGCCTCGTGGCTATCTTCAGAGGAGCCAGATCCTTTACTAGAATCCAGTAGAAGCTGTATTGCCAGCAGCTTCAGTCCAGAACACATTAAAGCTGCTACACAGCAGCTCCCACACAGTCAACTAAGGAAGCCCTTGGGTGAGCACAAACATGTAGCAGAGATCCAAAGCTGAAGACAGCTGGAGAATCCAGCTGCTTGGAGAGGTGAGGGAGTCACCATCCAAGGAGGTGTTCAAGTACCATGGAGATGTGGCACTGAGGGGTGTGATATGTGGCAAGGTGGGGGTGGGTTGGTGGCTGGACACAATCTTAATGGTCTTTTCCAACCTTAATGATTCTGTGATATTAACTCCCTGACAGCTCCCAGCCTGTACAGCTCTTAGTGCTTCACCTTCAGACTCCAGGCCACTTCTAGTTCTCATTTGGGTGTGGTGATTCCATCTCACACTTGGAATATTCAAAGTGATTATTTAAACGTGGCTACCTAAATTAGACTATTTGAAGCCACATTTATGTATTACAGGTTTTCTTCCCCTATCCTGAACGTTCCACAAAATATACTTTCTCTCTCCAAACTTGTGTCTTAGCTGTCTTTGGGCCTTTTTCCTGTTGCTGAGCTTCATACAATCTGCATGGCTGATGAGCTGGCACATATGGCTAACAAGCAGTCAAAATATAAAAGATGGGCTTACCTCCAGAAGTGATAAAAAAGCAGAGGAACATTTAAGCCCAGCGTGAGCCATTCCTGAGCACACAAAAACATTATGCAGAAAAGGCTATGGATGGAGTACTCCGGCAACACCAGCTGAAAGGAACAGAAATAACAGATCAGTAAAACATCCCTGTGACTTCCGTCACTGGTTTTGCAGAAGGCAAACCTGCATCCATCCCCAGACATACCTCCAGAGAGGGATAGTAAAGCAGAGAGCAATGAGCACAAGGCATGGAGCCATCCTGGTTCTGATCCTGGCTGTACACTGTGGGCTTTTTTATAAGTTACATTCATCCTGAAGATATCAAATTCATTACTAAGTTAGCTTTTCGAGCTAAAAACCACTAAGAAGGAAAACTCACACCCCTGGTAAATCCATGGCTTCTCATGCTGCTTGTTGCAGACCAACATGATCCTTTCTATTAAAAGAGAGAGTGAGTGGGCAGCTAGCAGAAACAGAAGCTTATGTGATGTTGATTCAGAGTGATTACTTCTAAAGGCTCTTTTTCACCTCCCTTTCTTAGCTGGTCTTCTCTTGTTTTCTTATGCCTTTTCTCAGAAATTCAATTCTTATCTTTATTCAAGCAATAAAAGAATTTTATTCCAGTACCTTCTATTTCTCAAAGCCAGACAATTCCACACACAGTTCATCTGTATCTCTTGCTGTGTCTCCAAATCACATCAAAGTTAAAAACAAACAAACCAAAAAAAACCATACAACACACACACAAAAAAAAACTAACAAAAAAACATTTGAGGGACTTCTTCTGATGTCAGTTCGCCCTCACCAGTCAAATAGTTCAAGTGAGTCTTGTTTCTGAAAACAGTGAGAAGCCCACTACAGCTACTCCCAACTTCTACCTACTCCCATACAGTTGTGCTGCAACAAATTCCATAGTTTTAGGACTTCTTCCACTTCACAAGGAACGTATTTTTTCACTTTCATATCTCTAAGTCTATGCAGCCAGTCTAAGCATCCTCAAAAGCTTATCTTATGTGGATGACAACTCATGGTACAATTGCATAGCACAGATTCCAGATGGCAGTTATTTGTCACTGCTGGATTTTTTTTTTTTTTCTTTTCATTTTTAGAATGTGATTTAGAACATGACTATAACCTTTACCAAGAGAATGATTCATCCTCGCCATAAATTACAGACAAGAAAGGTCTTAATGATGAATGGCTTCCGACTAAGCATCACGGCACTTTCAAGTATATTACATTCATTATCACATATTTGATTTCTGCTTCTAACACAGTTCACAAAGTTAGCAAAAACACAATGCTTGATCAGTGGGCTGGCTGGTAATAGCTGAGAAGGAAACCCAAGGTGGAAATTTATAAAGGAGATTTAAAAAAAAATAAATAATCATCTGTGAATCTAGAGAAGAAACATGGGAAGCAGTAGAGAACAGATTCACTCTCCAGTCACAGTTTCTAGTGTACACTAGATCTACCTCTGCTTTTAATAGAATAACAGATGGGTCATCTTGTCTCTTCATCTTTTTCTTGGAACAATATTTTTGCACCAGCATAAATAAATACAGGATCAATTCTGATCACAGTTTCCAAAGAGAATTAATGGAAAGAAGCAAACAAACACCAGCCTGTAAAGCAGCTGCAGTTAACATTCAAATGATTTAGCCAAGGGACTAAATCTAAAAGTAAAGGAGGAAAGTAAAAACATAAGGGAGTAACAGAGACACTTGTGAAGAAAAGTAAACTAGAAAAACAAAACATAACACTGCCTCTGTTCCTGGCTGGAACAGTCACCTTGCAATCCTCTGAAACCAATGGAGATTCCAATGCACATCAGCAAATACAGGATTTGGTTCCTGGAGGGAAGAAAGCCAGTTCAGGAACCAGCAACTGTCAATCCTTGTCATTGCTGCCAAGCTAGTCCACTGCAATGGTAACTTCTGAGATACGGAGAGTTGTGCTGCAGGAGTTGTGCTAGGATCTTTAATTCATTTCTGGGACAGTGTATAAAGCTGTCAGATGGCAATCATTTTAGGATATAAACAGTATGCTTCTATTTTGAACCAGGAACACTCTGATTCAGATAATGAACTCTGCTTTCTGACACAGCTCAGGATGAAGTCTGGGGATGGCTACAGAACACAGAGCTGGAGGAGAAGCTGGCAAAGAAGCACAGCTCTTGAGAGCTGAAATGTGGTCACTTGGAGTTCCAAACTAATGAACGGCATTGCAAATATACTGTTAGAAATTCTGCTGGCTGATGTTTACCCATGGAAAAACCACAAAAAAGCCTGAAAAGGAAATCAAAGTTTCTAGATCAAAGTGATGCTAGTCATAAACATCTCTTGCTATAATGTAAGCATAGGAAAGAAACTACTATACCTTCGTATGTATGCTCTGATATGTACATTTAATATACATATCAGCAAAAAATTCAAAATCTTTTTATCACAAACCATTTGCATTTCAAACGTAAAATCTTTGCTAGATATCAAATCATTATCATCCCATAATAAATATTCAGTACACTCTCATACAAGGTAGTATACACATGCATACAGGTAGATAGTTTCATCCTTATAGTTCCAAAGCAAATAAGGCAGCCTTTGCTATGTGCAGACAGCAAGGTTTGGCTGAACTGAAGCTAACTAAGAACCTGCCAGCAGCTTCTCTCCACTTACTGGAGTACAAAGTCATCTGAAGATATCAGCTGCATCTCTCACAAAGCTCAGTCCTTTATTCAGTCACTTTTAATCAGTTTCCTCTTCCCTAATTGTGTTCTGTTGTTCTTTTACAAACAACAATCCCATCTTTTCCTGTCAGTAGTCTTCCTCCTTACTGTGCTTATTACACGTTACTACCTTCTTCTCAAATGTAATTTTGCTCTTCCAGAACATTCTGTTGTTTTTAAATGGAATGACTCTCACAGCTGGGCTCACCAGTGAATATGCACAAGAAATACCTCTCTGAAACCCAAATTGGGAAGATAGAACATGGGAAGATAGAACACAGTGAACAGTGATCTCCCTTCATCAGTGCTATTAAATTCTCTTACTTAGAAAAAAAAATGTAACAAGTGAATCAAACTGCTTTCCCAGTCACTACTAAGTCACTAAAATGCCCAGAACTCATGCCTCTGTCACGTACCTTGTTTATGTCCAATACTCCTGAGTATTAGACAATAATAGTAATTCTTACAGAATCACTGTTTTTCTCCCCCATGAAGTCTCCTTGCACATAGCCCAGACCCCCCTCCTTTAACCACCAATGTGCTACTCTACCCATAGGTAGGCAACTACCAGACACAGCAGTGCTACTTTAGCACAGCAGTGAACGCTGCTGCACCTGCTGCTGGCAAAGGATGGCTGCAGCTTGTTTCTAAGGTGCTCACTTTGCTGCTTTTTCCGTAATAGCCCTTACTAAAGCTGACACACAGGGAAAGAGTGGAGGGAGTCAGACCCATGGTGTTCAGGACACAAGAGTTATTTTAATTACACTTTGAAGTCCATCCTAGTAGAGCCTGCCAGAGCTAACCCAGCTTACTGAGGAGTATCAGCTGCTGAATTTAAGACATTAGGAGCTCCTTTGGAGTTGATTATTTAGCATCTCTGAAATCCTGCTAATTGAACAATGAAAAAAAATCAGAAGTGTAGCATAAGCAAGTGAAAAAGAGAAAGGACAAGCACACAAAAAAAAACTGCAGCAGCATTTCAATTTATTCAAAGTCACGTAATTCAAACTGCTACAAGCATTCAGCAGTTTGCTATGTCGTATATAACTAGCTGAAAAGAAAATGGCTGGAAAATAGATTTCTGATCATCTAAAGAACACCTGCAGTTGAACCTAACAAATTCAAATCTATATATTTTATCAGGGGACAGCAACGTTGCATGCACACAATACTCACTGTTACGGATCAAATGCACAGCACAAATAAAAAAGGATTTAACAGCTGTGCTTTCAGCTCTCCCCTTTTCTGGACCACAATGACATGAAGCAGAGCAAAACATACACGTTTGGGAAGGAAATGTCCTTAATTTTAATGCTCTACTGGAATCTGTTTAAACAGAACAGAATTCAATCCACAGCACAAACAGCAGACAGGGAAACGAGTAACACAAAGAACCTGATTACCATACTCACAAAGCACTCCATATCCCTCTGCAACACAATACAGAAAATCAGGTATTCTAATAGTGGATCTCCACTCTCTTTCCATTTCGGGTACTGAACACACCTCTATTTAGGCCCATCATTTTAATACTCATCGTCTCATTTCTATCTTCTGTGACATAGAGGTAATTATATTTTAAGTCTAACATTCTAATGGAGCCAGTTTATGACTGGCATATTTAAACTTTGTCATATTACAAATAATAACTTCAACAACAGTGGCAGAGGAAGATCACATCTTTATGGGTCATTTATCAAGAATATCAATAAGATTTCTGTTCTGCAGAGCCTACAAGAGGTCATAAAATAATAATATTAATAAAAAGCTTCTCCACTGAGCACAGCCTGCAGGGCATCAGCACCGTTCAAAAAGCACCTCATCCTTGGGTGGTACCTCATTAAGGCAGCAGTGCTGTGATCTGAGAAGTGATGATATCTTCATAACCTTTTTTATTTATTTTCTAAATGTTAATTCAGAACCAGTAACAGAAGCTGAGTTTGCATCCCTGGAGCACGAACATCTAATTTTCCTCCACACTAATATGGAATAGGGTAACAAATATCCTCTTGCCCTACTTCTCTATTGTGTTTCAGACATAACCAGAGATGAGCAGAACTGGTAAAGGTGATCCCTGTCCTGCTATTCTAAAAAGTTTTTGGAAACTTCAGCATCTGAACACAAGGTAGAACATTTAGCTCCCACCAGAAACCATTCCCATTCATACAACAGATACAATGTGAAATAATTCCACTCTATTTTTAGGGATTGTGTTGTTTTTTGTAATTGCACAGAGGCTGTGTATGATCCAATCCTGACTTAAATCCACAATGAAAATTCTGCTAAACATAACAGCAACATTTGATTTAACCCCAGTTCCTTTAGTTTCATTAAAATGCAAATATATATTTTATTGCATACCAAATTAAAGCAAATACAGTC